CCCGCCTCCCCTCCAGCGAGTACACATACTCTCTAAACTTCCTTCAATAATTAAAGGCGATCCGAGGAGTCCGCCAGGACCGCTTTACATTTTATGTTGGAATAAACTCCCCGTAACGCTGCCCTGAGAGTCTAAATGGAAAAGGACAGCTTTCCCCTCACCGGGGCCGCACTGGGCTCCCACGGTCGGAGTCTCAGCTGAGGGGCCTCCGTGTGCACCGAGCCCCGCGCTCCAGGGAACGCCGGCAATTAGGGAAACATCCACTTTAATTATTAGCAAAATCAAAGAAGTCCCGGCATGGCTTTCGGAAACCAGCAGCCTCTCGAGCCCCTTCGAGACACGTCAGCGCGGCCCTGGCTGGGTCGCTCAGCGGTCAGAGCATCGACCCCATGCGGCAAGGTTTGGGTTCAGTCCCCAGTCGGGGCGCAGCCAAGAAGCAACCAAGGAATGCGTGAGCAAATGGAACAAGTGGATGCCCCCCCAAGTCAATTTTTATTTATTTTTCAAATATATTGTTATTGATTTTGGAGAGGAAGGGAAAGGGAGAAACATCAACAAGAGAGAGTCATCAATCGGCTGCCTCCTGCACGCCCCCACTGGGGATCGAACCCGTAACCCAGGCCTGTGCCCTGACGGGAATCGAACCCTGACCTCCTGGTTCATAGGTCGATGCTCACCCACTGAGCCACGCCGGCCGGGCTCTAAAATCCATTTTTTTTAAACGCATCACCCTTGCAAATTGCATTCATGCTGGTGTCACACGGAGGCTGTTCCATGGGTGTTGTAGCTACAACCTGGGACACCAACTCTTACCAGATTCCCTTCCCCAAGGCCTGGAGGCCACAGTGAGGTCGCCACACCTGCTCACTGCAGCCTCCCAGCCTCCCTGCCTCCCTGCCTCCCTGCCTCCCAGCCTCCGTGTGCGGGCTCGATCCCCAGTGGGGGGGTTCCCTGATGGCCTCGGGTTAGAAAGAGGTCTGCCCTATCTCTTCACAACCATGCAGGGGTCCTGGGGTGGGGAGGGTCTCGCCCAGCGCCCCCCCTGGGACAGGACCGCGGGCCTCCTCCCACCCTGTCCTGGACGGGCTGCCCGGTCCTGGCCCAGCCTCGCGCT